GGACAAAGAGACACCGCAAGGGGTACATTGAGCCCCGTCGGACGAGTACAGGCAGTCCCCGATGTCGCCAGTAGCGGAGCGCCAACGAGTAAGAAATAACCCCTCGTGAGGGGAACGCTTGACCTGGCTAATGGGTAAGAGGTACCCCTCCGACGGGAACACTTTGGACATCGACGTAATGCGGACAGTTGTCACCCTTGGCTTTTACAGTGTATACCCGCGCACCGGCCGGATTCAAGGCGCTGCTGCCACCCATCTCTTGTCGGGCAGTTTCCGATGCGGTATAGGAGGAATGGTTTGTACCAACGACATTTTTTGATACATACAATATTTTCCCCAGCCCACCGCAGCCCGTTCGCGGGCACTGCGTATTCTTGTTGTGCTATTCGCGCCCACGACGCGCGTCCGTGGCTTGTCGCCGCGTCGCTCGTCTCCTCCAGAAGAGGTCTCCTCTACCGGGGCGTGGGAGAGAGAGAGGACGTCGTGTGCGAGCGACAGCGGTGGCAGGGCAGCGCTGAGCGCGCTGAGTCACTGCGTCGTCGTGGCTGACGCGAAGGCGCGCGGGGGCGGCGCGGGGCAGGCGGCACGGGGAGCCCCCTGCGAGGCGGGCAGTCGCAGCGCGCCGGTGCGAGAGGTTGCCTACCTCGAGCCGGACAGGAGGCTGGCCGTGTGCCGTGCGTGGCTCGCGGAGGGTCGGGTTGGCTCTCACTGGTAGTCGGTATGCGAGTGCCTGCGCAAAAGGGCTTATTGCGGTGTGCACGGGACGACTCGCAGCAGGACCGGCTCGCGCGGTGACGTCACGCGCCCTGCGCCAGTGGACGCGGCGGCAGGACGGTGCCGGTGACGCGCGCCCGGACCGGCGGCGCGTCGCCTCTGACGTCAGCACCGTGAGAACGGCTGCGGCTCCGGACCGGAGCGGACCTTGTCCTTGGCATCCGCCACGGCGAAGCGCCCCGCACCAGCGGAGGACGATAGGGGGTCCTTGCGCGCAGTTCCAAGCCAAAACTGACCTCAAATAAGAACCGCCTCCCCCGCCTCACCCCGCACTGGCAGATTAAGGTCGGATTATTATTATTTTTCCACACACACACACGCGAGGTTTTGTTGTTGCGTTGCGCCGAGGTGTATTTGCGTTGCGGTCAGCTCGCCGCCGTGGCGGGCGGTACAGCGCAAACAAAAACAACAAAAATGAAATCTCGTTCTGGGAAAATAAAAAAATGTATATACATCGCAAACGAGAACTGAGCTGTCATCATTTTTGGGGTCGTTACTTTCCTTTGAGGTGGCGCCGCGGGGCGTGTGGTCGGTGCCCGTCGCGCCACAACCCCAGCCGGAATGTATTTGATTGGGTCTGTACTATCAAACAGCTTATGGCCCTGACCCCGGGCGCGCGCTCGCGCGCTCGCCACCCGCGAGGCCCGCGCCGGCACCATTTAGATTGCCTTTGTAGCAAATTGTCGGGCCGCGGGGGGGCCGCGTGGTAGGTGGGGTCCACCTATGGGATTGGCGATTGCCGGTCGATAGCTCCATCGCCTCGCCGCCACGCGGAGTTCGTTGTATCGGGCCCCCGGGTGCGCGGGCCGGGCGGCCGGGGAGATAGAGGGGTGACTCGGCGCGGGCCCGGGGCGGATTAATTGTATTCTGTTTTTGCTCCTGCTCGTGGCGCGGGTGGGCTGCAACGAGCGCGTCTGGCTGCGGCGCTTTCACTCGCACCAACCCCATACCTGGCTCGGTGCAACGAGACCCGCCCGGCTGTGGTGGGCGGGCGCGCGCAGCCCGGGCGCAGAGCTCGTCTCGCGGAGAAAAAGTTGTCGCGCGACTCCTCCTTTAGCCTGCCCCTGCCAGCCAGCCAGCCGACAACCGCTCGGGCCACTGTGAGAGAGTGCAACGGAACGGGCAAACCACGCTAGACCTGCATTGCACACTGAGTGGATCCGCCCGCCTGGACACTAGACGCTTGTGTACTTAATCATGGACAGATTTCAGTGTGTCCACCCACCCAACCTGAAGGTGACTCGCTCGGCGTATTCTCGAGTAGTCCCGCAGCAGGCAGGCTTTGTTGTAGTGTACGGCGGCTGCCGGGCCGGCTCTGCTGTCCGGACCAAACGTCGCTTAGGCCTACTTCACTCGCCGTATGACTTATTGGGCTCGCGCAATGCGCCGGAAACAATGGTTAGGAGCGGCAGGGCGGGGAGCGGGCAAAGCGGGGGCGGGGCGCGGAGACTTGAACGCAGGCG